AACCCATGTTCAGGACTTCCTCTTCAGTAAAAAGCTTGACTTCTCTATTTCCCCTAATACTCCTAGAGCCCATTTGGATTTTAAATCTTCAGAGCCCAATGATGTGTTACTCGTCAATCATCTATCATTAGGGATCTCATACAGTCTGTCATAAGATTAGCCCCAAATTCTCCAAGGCCTGGTCAGTCCCACTAAGTTTCTCAACTTCCATTTGAAACTAAGCTTTTTCTGGATAGAACAGCCACCATCTTGGGGAAACTGTTACTGACTCCTATTACCATCTTGCCAGTCAAACCACTAACTGCATCACCATTGGCAGTAAAACAGGAGTCAATGTAAATGTTGAAACATCAGCAGCCTCTCTGGGGGTTTCTTGTTGAGGATGTCTCATTACAACAAGGAGATACCACCAGATGTGTGCTCATCTCCTGTGGGATTACTGCATCTTAAAGCCTAACAAAAACCTTCTCATAGTAAAAGTCGTCTCAAGGGATGACTAAGCAATTGAAAGGGAAACCCAAGATGTCAACCAAAACTCGCCCAGCATCACCAATAATAGAAGTACAGTCTTTGATAACCCCACTACCACTAGTGGAAAGATCACCATTGCCAGAAGTGCACAAGCTTTCAAAACCTTGGACCAACCATATAACTACTATCGCCGATAGTGAAACTTTTCAGGATGATTGAAAATGGTTCCATCTTGAAAACAGGCTGAGCACCACCCATGAATCCTTGGACCACTGTCTAAGCAAAGTTTGGCAACTTAGCACCAGCACTGGTCAAGCAACCAGCAACCAAGAGATCACGTGAATTAGCTCAATGAAAACTGATAGATTGACCTGTCAGCAATCCACGCACTGTCATCACTATTACCCTAGCCATGCAGCAGATCTAGTTACTAACAAGGCACTGCCAGGAGATGGCTGTCAAATTGACTGAGACCTGGGTGATTTATAATAATGAAAAAGACTGTTTCCACTAAAGAAATTTGCCAATTTCTAGACGGGAAGAGGAGTTCTACTAGCTGCCAGTGGAGCTGAACCCAATCCAAATAGTCTTAGTCTAGGCCCAGGAGATCATTCAAGACACCATAGCTACCATTTGGTGACACACTACCACTTTAAGGCTGCCTCGTTACTGTTGTTGAAGTATGTATACATTTTATATATAGATATTTTATTTTTCTTAAATTAAGGATTGTTTGTATAATATACATGTGAGTGTATATATCTACGCCTTTCTGTGATTTTAGTTTTATTTCTCTTTATTATTGTGTTAAAGGAGGGTTATGCAATTGTTATATTGTGTATCTTTATTAAAGCCTTATGCACTATAGATGTCCAATTGTATCATTGGTAAAGGGGTCTATTTTGTATTTGTGTTGTTGTGTTTATCTTTGGTGGATTGTTATTTTTATGTTAAATAAATAAACTACATTAAAATTACTGTACTACAAAGTTGACCAAAAAGTTAAATTTATGTTAATGACAAAGTTAAAATAGTTGCTGAAATCAAAGGTTCTCACTAAATCCTAAAAATTTATCTAAAGTTATACACAGGACAAACCTGGTTTTATATACTGTGATTTGCTGATAGAAAATTATGCCACTATCTGGTTACTTTGCCTCCAAGAAAAGTGTTGATGGACAAATGTGTAGCACTCATGGCAGCAACTGTTTACATTTTCTAATAATAAAACCCTATACTGTGATTAAATACAACGTTTGCACTACATAAAATCAATACATAATATGATGTAACCTCAGTTTCGCCAATCCTTATGTTGGTCAGAAGATCCAAACTAGTTATATGTATGACAAAGTCTTCCTAAAGAACAGGTTGATGGCCACGAACAGAGATTTGAATTTTATAAAATGTCAAATGATTTTAAAAGACATATAGTGACAAAGATTGATAAAGTAATAATTTCACAAAAGAACCGCGAATCTATCGCTTTCGTGCACCTCCATATTATAAAATTTAATCGTTTGTTTGTTTCTTTAACAAAGATATCCTTGCTCTCAAAGCAGCTTACTTTCTTGTATTTTTCATTTATCACTTTTCTCTGCTCTTTAAATGGTAATTTCAAGTTCCATCACTAAATTGTTCTTATTTGAATCTGAAGAATAACTTTGATCACATGTCTCATTGTTAGTTCCGTTTTGAGAACTCAAAGCAAATGTGAACAGATATCATTTATGAGGTTTTCTATTTGTCATTTTTGCACTGTAGCTCTACATTCACTTGGCAACACTTCATTATCATTTGTATTTATTATACGCAATGATAGAAGTAATTGGAGAAAAGGAACGAGCCTGGCTTTAATCTCAGTTTGATTTTGCAATCAAACAGTTCAGCTTTCAAATTTCTTTCTGAGTCATCACCACTAAAGTGATTCAAACACATATAAATTTCATAAAGTTTTAAAGGGGCAACAAAGGAGCTTATTGGCCCATCAAGGATGTCCCTTCCAGCTCCCAACTATAACCACAACTTACTATTCATGTATTCATGAAATCTTTCCTTGAACTTAGTTAAATTTTCTCCCTCCACCACCATTGAAGACAGCTGATTCCAAAAGCCAACCAATCTGTTTGAAAAGTAATACTGTCTAAACTGCAGACAACTCCTACGCTACCAAAATTTGAACTTATGACCCCTTGTCCTAGTGTTTTCACTGCTAAACACAAAAACGTTTGATGGATATATATTATCAATACCCTAAAAATCTTAAATACATCAATCAAATTCCCTTTGACTCTTCTCCTCTCCAGAGAAAACAAGGTTAGAGATTTTAACCTCTCCTCATAGGTATCATCCTAGTGGCTCTTCTCTGAACCTTCTCCAACAACTCAATGCCCAAAAGAAACTACTCTAAATGAGGTCTTACAAGTAATCTATATAGTAAACAAGAATATCTCTTGTCTTGTATTCAATATTTCTATAGATGCTACCAAAATTCTGTTAGCTCTATTGCTACACTGTTTAGATGACTTAAGTAAATTTTCGATCACAACACCAATATCCTTTTCTTCAACCACAGTATTTAATGTATTCCCATTTAAATTGTAACAATAATTTGAATTGTGAAAACCTACATGTGTCACCTTACATTTTGATAGTTAAACATCATCTGCCACGTATTGGCCCAATGCATCAAATGATCTAAATCTCCATGTAAGTCTGTAGCATTTCTGATACAGTTAGCCACCCCAAAAATCTTAATATCATCTGCAAACTTCAAATTTTTTTAGTCATTCCAGAGTCAATATGATTAACATAACTCACAAACAGCAGAGGAAGTTCTTATTAAAAGTATCAAATTGTTCTGCTCTTTTGTATCTATCAACTCAAGTTTTTTTTCTTTTATGGTTAAAACAAACAGCCACAACAAACCTATGACCACCTATAATGATAATATTTTTGTTAGTGAAAGCAAACAAAGCTGAACAGGAAGAAATAACATATTTTAAAATCTCATTTCCAGTGTTTCAACTCGGGTTAATGACATGCGGAACAGTGCAAGACGAAGCAGTGGCGTAAAATGCCATGAGCTATGAGGTGCGTAACAAACACTAAAAGCAAGCATCGTAATGCAATGTTCTTATTCAAACATACACTTACATTATACAAAGTGAAGCTTGTACATAGCTCCATTTTGCAAGCAGCGTATTCTTCCACAGCATTCGTTCCGAGCATAAACCGTATGGCAGCCACTATAGTTATTGTCCTATTCGCCAACAAGAAAAGAATCACCTACCTAAGAACCTAACGAGTTATCTTTCCTCTAAGAAAATATATGGATAACTACCAATTAGTAATTTCACGTGCAATGTACGCTGGAGAAAGAAAATGTTTAGTGACCTGCTTGAATGCTCCTCTGTATCTAAACTGAGGGCTCTGAGAAATCTAATAATTTATTTCTTTTAAATGACTTATTAACTAAAGGGAAAACTGGCGCATAATACAATGGTGTACAACAGAAGTAAATAACGTTAGGTTTAGTTAGTATATTTTGTTCTGAAGGACTCAGAAATTTAGAACTACTCTGTAATAAATATCTTGTGGAATCTCCCACTATTCTGCAAACTTATCCCATCGCTCTCGGGAGAAATCAGTTTCACCCGAAAATACCACCTAAGTATTTATTCTAAGAACGCATGAGAGAGAGCAATGGAGAATATATTATAATATGTCAGTCACTACATTTGCTATATTTAGTGCCGACGAGGCCTTTCCGTCAATAACGTGGTTCATCAGGTCAGCTGGGATACGACAGACATAATATAGATCTAGACCAATGGTTCTTAACCATTTTTTCTCCATTCCCCACCGCGACACCTCAAAATATTTGATGCCCCTTAATGTAAAAACAAATTTGGTGTTGAAAAGGTATAATAATATAATGCAAAATTTAGAAATTTACCAAAAAATATGAGTTTAATTAATAATAAACTTTATATGTTTAAAGCACTTTCTAACACTTCCATAATTTTTTATCGTGTGAAATTCACTAACATACGAACAACAATGCAACTTACCGCATCGCTTCTACACCTCACAAAGTTAATGCTTAACTGATCCGAATCTAGCGATCACCGGCAATAAATGAATGACAAATTTAAAAACCGTGTCAGACGACTCAGTTTAAGTCACGGAACGTTTTTCGCTCTTCACACCCAAATGAAATTTTTTACTTATTGTAGCATTTTCATATTGCTCCC